AAAAGACCCGCCACCGACACCTGGGTCCCAGAAGCCGGGTCCTTGGGCACCAGCAGGGCCAGGCAGAGAAAGGGCTGGGGTTCCCGAGGCTACTTCAAGAGGACCAGCTCATGACCCTATGAAAGGGGACAAGTTGGAAAATCCTCCAAGCGTGAAGGGTCACAGCACCTGGTTTCTCAGACTCTGCTGTGCTGGGAGGAGAAGCTCCCGAGGGGGACTTCCGCCAGTGGAGAGGGTGGTGAAACTGGGGGAGACTTTTTCAGGACCAAAGACAGCGACCTGGCCCCAGAGGAGGAGGCCTTGGCTAGGTTGGGAGCAGGCTTGCGGGGAAGGATTCCGGCGGCATGGGCTCTTAGTCTTCCTTTCTTTTTCACTTTCTGGGTGAGCCCATTAATCTGTCAGATAAATATCTCCCATTTATTCTTTACTCTCCTGTTTTCTTACTCTTGCCTTTGTACTGAAAAGCCATCCTTATAACCAGCAGGGTGAGAGTTGTCCTAAAGTCTAGTCTCAGCTCAGATTCATGGACACACAGTCGTTCTTGGAAGTTGAGGCAGAGGCCAGAGTAGTTAGGAAGGCAGGGCCTACAGAGGAAAGGGTGGGAAGGGAAGAGCCCAAGGCCTGGGCAAAATCTAGAAATGCCCACATGTAAATATGGCCAGGAAGATAATGTCATGAACCAACAAAATGGTAACATGGGCTGAGAATATTAGCACAATAACTGAAAAAAGAGGCAATTGCTGACTTGGAAATATTTATCTGAGACATGTGAGAAAGTAAATAGTTTAATGCAATTTTATGGGAAAATGTTGGCCATTAAAAGAGGAAATTTACAGAGAAATGAATTCTTATGGAATTCATTCAGTGTTAAGTGTTATTACTGTGGAAACATACATAGATACATAAAGAGTCATATCTACATATATATTTATACACAGAAAATACATAAGTTTGGCTCTCTTGTGTTCCTATGAGCTGCTACTGTTAGATTTGCAATGAGAAGAAAGAGAATAAAGTAAATGTATTTTTATTTTGCCTCATAATATCAAAATTTCATATATCCTAAGTTGGAGTAAGTACATTTTCTAAAATATCCCTTAGGAATAATTACATATTAGAAAGCACAGTTTTGTGAAATCACACACCCCAGAATTAAAAAAAAAAAAAAAAAAGTTGATTTATTTAAATAAAGATAGGGCAGGGGTTTGTAACAATTTCTAAATGTCCTCATTGCTGTTGATAATAAGTTGGATATATTTACCTAATCTTAGAATAAAATAATGTTGGTGGGGGGTTTTTTTGGTTCCTAAGTTAGTTCTTCAGGGAATCTTGGCTGGCCCGTGAAATCCCTCTATGTAAAGAGGCTTAAAGAACTTATTAGTAAATGCAATCATGTCTATCATCAAATGTTATCCCCCAGTATTCTGATAAACATGTTAATGCAAAATAGAAACCTTCATTAGTTTTTAAGAGTGTCTTCAAATCAGATCACATGCATATAAATATCTGGAGCCAGAGAGAAAGATGAATGCCCCAGCTTGGTCCATTTATTCTCTCTGCAAGGAGAGAACCACCAAGCCTGGTGAGCCTCTTATCACTCCTTTACAAATACTTGGACTGACATCAGTATGTTGATAGCCAACCCCTTTGAAAAGATCAAGCATAACATCTAAGACTTTGATTCCCCAATTCTGTGCATTGCATAAAAGTAAAAGATAATTTAAGTAGAAGCCTGCTCAAATCTGACAACCCACCGTAACCCCATATTCCTGTGGAGCTACTGGAATACAGTCCAGTGTGTGTACAATGTGATGTGTCCATATGGTAAAGCTAGAAACTGATACTGAGCTGTGAACCCAATTAAACAAGTAACAGGGCAGGAGAGTTCCAAATAACTTATCCAAATGCAGATGTCTTCTTGTTTTTGTTGATAATCCAAATCTATCAGAAACTGATATAAGCAGACATGGCTTCAGAAAAAGAATAATTCACTAGCACCAAACAATATATGTGGATGCATATATGTGTATCATATTTATACATATATATTAATTAGTGAAAATGTTTTACCATTTTGGTTACCAAAGGATGACTTCTGACTAATACACTCTCCAGGATTGTCTTGGGAGTCACGGTGGTGGCTCTGTGCTGAAGGGTCTGTGGGCCTAGCTAAGGAGAAGGCAAAGTATGGGACCAAAAGGCTGATCCCCTGGGTTGAAATTAGCCTATTACCAGGCTAGAAAATGAGTCAGGGGGTTCTAGTCACTCTTTCTGGCAGCTTTGGCTCACACTCAGCCCATCCCTGGTTTCCCTGTTTCTCTGAGTCAGTTCAGCCTGCCCAAGACCAAAACACAACCAACCGGGCACATCTTCTAAGCAGAGAAAAAAGGAGATATGGAGACTTGGGAGAGGGTCCCAGTTACTCCTTCCTTGGGAACCTTCTCTTCCGGCTCACTCTGCCTCTTCCTGACAAGGCTCAACTAGAGTCAGAGCAGTCCTGCAGCTCCAAAGTCGAAAGGGCACAGCCCCTCCCAGAGCACACCCTCTGTTCCAGTGGCTAACACTCACTCTGAGTCTCAACCTTGCCGGGGATGCCCTGTGCCCTTCACTTCAGCCACCCCAGGCAGCGGTCAAGGCACTGAGCTGTTAGGAATGGGGTGTGGTGAGCAGACAGCACAGCATAGGCCTTTCTCCTGCTGACTCCTGAGGTTTAGATTCTTAAGTCCCTAAGGTCCCCTGGGCTGGCTTTAAAGCCATTGGGTGTGGGCCTTATCCAGTGTCAAAATCTGTCAGTATTAAAAGTGTTTGGGGTAGGCAGGGGGGACGCTGGGATTTCAAACTTCCTACTGCAAACTCATCTGTCTTCCCTTACCTACCCCCGCCCCCTTTCCTCCAGCCTTACCCCAGGGAAAGGGCCACTTAGAGTTGAGTCAGGAAAGAGAGAGGAAGGGAGAGGTCAAGATCTGGTCTCTCCAAAGCAGCTTGGAATCTCAGAGGAGTCCTTGAGCACAGAGGAGGGGCGGCAGCAGCGCGGCCTGGCGAGGGTACCTGGTTTCCAGATTTGCAGACGTACGTCCTGTTCCGTCGGATACTCCGCTTGAAAAACCCCGAGCAGCCGTCGCAGGCGTAGACCCCGTAGTGTTTCCCCGAGCTGCGGTCGCCACACACTTTACAGGGGATGTCTAAAATGCGGCCTGAAATCCAGAAGAAGACGGGGAAGGGGGGAAGGGAAGGGGAGAGGAGAGGAGAGCGGAGGAGAGGGAGGAGAGGGGAGAGGGGGGGAGAGATGCTAAGCAATCTGACCTCTGAAGGGATTAGCACCGAGGCTGCGGTAAAAGCAAATAATGAAGTGATTTTATAGCCAAACTTTTTTTCCTTGAGCAAGTGTCAGTTTCCTACAATGAGCATTATTCATGCACCGCTACATGTATTTGGGTCTCGTCTAATCGCCGAGACCCATTTCGGAATAAAAGATGACAGCAGGCCCGGGCGGCCCGCCGCCGCCGCCGCCGCCTTTCTGCTCCGCGGAAAGTCCGGCCGCCTCCCTCCCCCGCTCCCGCGTTTAACGCGGAAAGTTGTTAGCGAGCCCGCGAGCAGACAAACTTGAAATGTGAAAGGAAAAAGAAGAAAAACAAACACGGCTGGGCCTCGGGATGGCAGCTGGAAGGCAATCGAGTCCTCTCGGGGCCGCCGGGCGGCGGTTATTATCGGGATTATTATTGTAATGCTAATACTAGGATTATTAATGATAATCAGGGCCGTGGTAATTGCCCAACTTTCGCTTTACCTATTTAAAAAAATGCTTGATGTAACGCTTTTGAGAAATTATTTCTTTTAGGAAAAATATTCCTCCCCAAAGTAACTAGCCCCAGGCTAGGCACGTCTGAGGGGAGCGACGCCGGTGTGCGGATGCCCCGCAGGTTCGGCCCGACGGCACCTCCTTTCCTTGCTCCCCCCCAGCTTCTGCCCTAAAGACTTGTCTCCTTCCACTGGGTCTTCTGTGGGTCTCTTCCTTCTGTTTTCCGCCCTGTCCAAGGCTCATGTTTTTTAAAGGGTCTGACTGGTTCCTCTAGACTGCCCCCCCCCCTTGGCCTCGACAGTCGCCAGATTTAAGAGAACTTTCCTTGAAATCCCCTCGAGCCTGGGGCGGCGGGGGACTCTGAAGGAACGAAGGGAGGGATGACACTCGGACATTCCCTAGGGAGGGAACTAGTCTCCTCCGGGATAGGAAGGCGTCCCACCAGCCTGCAGCGGCTTATAGGGACTTCGAAATCCTTCCTCTCACAAACAGAGGGAGTATTAAATAAAGTGTTAACTTAATTAACACTTTAATAATGATGACAGTTAGTAATTATTAACTTCTTAACATGTACTGTTCCTTTGCCACCTGTTCGAAGGCCTCCAGTCTGCACCCGGGCGGCCCCGGGCCGGGGAGACACTCGACAGCTGCCCCCTGGAGCGCTCAGGCCGCGCTGAAGAGAGGCTGGGGTGAGAAGCCCTGGGCGAGGGGAGCCGAGGTGGCGAGGGCGCGGTGTAGGGACGGCCCCTGGGACGACGGAGGTGGGGACGGGCCGGCGGATTCCTCGGCGTCCAGGCGGGTGGCACTCCGCGCGGTGGCCCTGGAGGAGTGGCGGCTGG